TTAATTACTAGCCAGTTGTGGAAACGAGTTGTTTGTGAATTTGTACGTTCGGCATGATTCGGGTGAAAATCGAAACTCCTTCGGCTCGATACGTTTGCATTTTGTACGTACGTAAAGGCACGTGAAGATATGTATCACGTATCCGTAAACGCAAGTGAATTTCTCACTGCGCAAGCGTACATGTCAAACGATACGTTTACGTCTACGTCTTTGGCCGTGCTTTAACTGTCTATTATATTATAATTTTTAACCTAACCCAACCTAACCTAACAGAACGTCAACGGTTTCTTGTAGACGTATCTGTTTTAAAAAAAGTAAAGTGTTCTCGAATAGTTGAATTTAAATATTTCAAATAGTTTTTTTTGTTTATTCTTTGTATTTTTTTGCTTCCGACGACGGAAAGAGATAAACTTTCCGAAACGTTAAGCATTTTTTTCTTTGTTAGGCAAATTTTTATTAAGTACTGTAAATATAACTTCTGACAAGCAGTGTCCGTTTAGGTTTAACGCAGAAGCGTTTACAAAAAATATTTATTTTATTTTGTAGATTTTTCTTGCAGTGCAGTGGCGAAATACCCATAAAGGATTTTTTTGGAGAGATGAATCCGCCACATAGGTATAGACATTTTTTAATAGTATGCTGTTTTATTAGAATTAAAAATGTCACTTTTTGTGACCAGGCTGTACCTACGTTTCACATTACAGAGGAAGCACAATAATATAAAAAGATTTAAAATAATTTCCTGGAAGTAATTACACAGGGTGAGTCTAAGTAAATAAGTGCAAATATTTTTAGGGGATATTTTTTTCGCCATAAAAATGAAAATTGGGAATTTTTTGAAAAAAAATTTGGATTTTTTTTTTTAGTTTTTAGTTAAAAAATATATTTGTTGATAATATGGCAACATAGGTAGTAGATTAAATTAAAATAATATAAATAGATTAAAAACAGTAAAGAGAAAATATGTTTCTTTTATCGAGATCTATAGTCTGTCCAACGAGAAGATCCATGACAGTGATATATGTGTCTGTCATTTTAATTTCAAAGTAGTTTATTTTATTTTACAAAGAAATAAGTTGGTACAATTGGAACGCATAGCAGGAAATTATTATATTTAAAATTTGACTGACAAGTGATTACTTCAAAATATTGTGAAAAAAACTGTATAAAACTGAAAAAATGTAATCGAGTTATTTAATTTAATAAATATAAAATAATATAAATAAACGGTATGTGTTAATACAAAACAAACAAGAACAAGACACCACATACCAAAAAAATATAAAAAAGAACTATTTCTTAGCTTTATGAAACTTCCCGCATTTATGACTATATTTATCAATATAACTTATGTACAAATACAAATTTGTAATATTCCGCAGGAATAAATAAAACAAACTATTTTATTATTAATAACACTTACCAAATTTTTTGGGTACCCTAAAGGTTGATTAATTAACTTTAATCTTAATTTTTTAAACCAGTACCTTTGGCATTATTTTTCTTGTGCAGTACTAAAACCCATTATTTACGTATCGTGTGATGTCGATATTTTACAGCTACTCCAGTTTTTAGTATGTGTTTAGTATGGTCCTTCTACCATATTCGAGATGCACTTATCTACGACGAGATGGTATACGAACTTTAATGATGGTAACTTTATTGGTGTATAAGACTTTTTGCCTGGGCAGCGAGTATTAACCATAAACTGTGCTCTGGGTCTACAGTTAATTTTCACTCGATTTTTCCTCCACTTGACTTCGAAAGACACAAAACACACGTAATAACACGAATCAAAATGCATCATCTTCCAAAACGCAGGGTATTTGACAAAACTGACAAAAGTTGACACAAAATTATAACCTCTAGGCTGCGTTCAGATATTCAGACTAGATGCACTCCGGATATAAAATTTACGTCCGTTAACGTTCTAAAATAAAGGATATTCTTATAGAGAGAGACATCTTAATATAATTTTAATGTAGTGGAATAAGAACAAACAACTCTAGGTTGTTACGTCACGTCCAAAAATACTGTCGTCCTGTCCAAACAAACTGTCGTTGCAATACCTGAACGCAGCCCTAATTTGGCAAGACTTTGACAAGCGTCAAAAATCTAAAGGCGAGTTCATACGCATCGGCGTCCGTTTGTCGTTCATCGTTCCGTCAAACCAATAAAATTGAAATAAGATCTGTCATTTTTGAAATAAACTAATAAAAGTGGTTAAAAACAACAAGAGAGGACGTATGACGGATTTATATTTAAACCCATCCATAGTTAACTTAAAAATTGTTAGAAACTTTTTTTAGTAAAATAAATAGATTGGTATGGGACGTCATCTGCTTTTATTCTGTCATCGTCTGTCGAAATCTTACCTGAGAAAAAAAACAGAGTATACCAGCCCTGAAAATATTGGACTTATTTAAGACTCACCCTGTATAAACAGTTATTATTTACGTCAACAAAACTCACCGTCTTAACAGCACTTAAGGAACATAAAGGGGCCATTTGTTATGTTAAAATGTTTTGAGTTTCCGTATTTGATAATAATTTTAATATATTGTGTTATCCATTATTTTCTGTTTTTTTTTATGTGAATTGATACTTCTTTAGTTAAATTAAGAAGCCTATGCATTACACATTTCTATCAAAATTAACCTTTTTATTTATAGGATTGTTTTTCTGTAATAACAATAATACAGTGTGTCAATTTTAAAACTTCCCACCTTTAATATCTTTCTTGCAGTTAAAAATATGAAAAATTGGAAAGACACGTCAACTTTATTTCTAAGGGGGGCACTTAAAATGAATATTTTTAGCCTTTTTTTCAACTCCTAGGAGGGGTAGATGTCACCTTTACAATCTTAAATGGAAATGGGGGTCAAGTGGCACATCGTTTTAAAGGGCGTTTAATTCTCTTTTCAGTGGTATCCTTTATTGCTTTTTATCCAGAGGTTTCCGAAGAATCGCATTTCAAAGGTGCAGAAGCAATTAAACGTGCCAGATTTTGGTTTTGAGGTTAGTGTTTATACAAAAGTTATTGCAATGGATCTCCTTGTAGTACAAATGAGAAGATTAGGTTACACCACTTACACCCTATCTTATAAGTTGTTCAAAATGTTGTCCAATTTACCGTAAACAGTAATAAAGTCTGTTTTCAAACACCTCCCTAACATATCGGAAAATTTCACCGGAAATTGACTGGCATTCTGCTGTAATTCCCCTTTTAAGATCATCAGTATCAGTAGATTGTGCTTTATAAACAATGGATTTAAGATGTCCCCCCCCAAAAAAAGTCAAAGTGATCTTGAAAGCCATTCAATTGGTCCCCTTCTGCCAATCCATGTCGCTGCAAATCTCTCGTTTAACCACTGTCGGACCGGAAAAAAATAATGAACTGGAGCACCGTCCTGCTGGAATGTTAACAATTCCTCCTGTGAAACTGATTAGAGGTTGCCACTCATTCGAATTTAAGAAAGGAAACGTTAATGTTTATGATGTTTTCTGTTTGTTAGTATTTCGAATTTCGACCCCCTAGAAAAATGTAATGGCTACGTCCATATTGCCACCTAATCTTCTAATCATTTGTACTACAAGGAGATCCACTGCAATAATTTTTGTGTAAACACTAGCCTGAAAACCAAAATATCAATGCAGGCATATTTAATTGTTTTTGCATCTTTGAAACGCGATTATTAGGAAATCTCTGGACAAAAAGCAACAAAGTAGGATACCACTGAAAATAGAATTAAATGTCCGTTAAAACGATGTGCCACTTGACACCCTTTCCCATTTAGGATTGCAATGGTGACATCTACCCCTCCTAAGGGGTTGAAATAAAAAGGCCAAAAATATTGATTTAAAGTGTTCCCCTTACTAATATAAAACTGACGTGTCTTTCCGATTTTTCATATTTTTAACTGCAAGAAAGATATTAAGGGTGGGAAGTTTTAAAATTGACACACTGTATGTAGTTTATTAAAGTAGTTTTTATGTAGGTATAGGTATATACATACATATAGCTAATAAACGGAAGAAAAACTACACATAGTCAAATCAGGTAAATTACCACAGCTACGGGTCTAGCTCGAAGACTGTAGCCAGTGGAAGATAGCAAAAAGACAAAACATCCACCGTATGATTGGAAAAAATCAGCGTCCAGTTGGCTCGGAAATGACGATCGATGACATTTCCCATATAAATTGACATATAAAATGAGAGCGATCTTCATTTCATAGTCATCGCTGCGCTTTATTTTCGATCATATTGTACTAGGGCACAAAACGAATCTAGTAAACATAATTATAGGTGTCATCACTGGAAATTGCCCCACGGGGGTAAACCTGAGAAAATTAGAGATTTCCAACGATGAAGCCATAGAGCACCAGCTGTGCCACTGTCCGGAACTTGAAAACCGACGCTTTAAAACTTTAGGGCACGGTTGTTTGAAGGGACTAGAAGAAGCAGCAGAAGCCAACATCAGCGACATCGGGAACTTTGCAAAGAACTGGAAGTGCTTTAATGCAAAGAAAGAATGGGACGAAGGTTTGGTATGCAATAATACAAGGATCCGAACAAACAAGATCTGAAACTCCAGCAACCTAACCTGACTTAATCAGGTAAATTATGTCAACAACTAGCTACTTCCGAACACTGCTTATGTGAAGCAAGTACAAAAATTTAAAAACCTCTATAAAACATACAATCCAATAATTGCTGTGTCGAACAAAATGCCTCGATAAAAGCTTGCCAAGCGGTGTATTTTTGGCAGTTATGTACAAAAATTAAATATATTATATCAAGATCTCTTAAAAGTAGACAACAATAAAATTGATATTCTCCATTTCTTATTTTGACATGGCTTTTTGATAAATAAACATCACCACTTGGTTAGTCAAAACTTCGCGTAAAAAATCACCAACTAACACTAAACCTGGTATAGGGCTTTTTTGAAACTGTGGGCTACCTTATTTAAGAGTATTCAATGTAATTTGTTTTACCTGTAACTTTGTCGCTGAAATCCTCTTTCTGTTATAATATCTGTTTCTTCAATCGGTATACCCTCCAATCAATTATTCAATCGTCAAAGAATGGTCGAAGACTTTTAGCTGCTTTTGGACAATAAAATCATAAAATAAAAATAACAAAATTAACAAGTATGTCAAAAGATGAAAATAAAAATAAGGTCAATTTGAAGGTCATTGTCATTATGGTAGATGATGCCAATGTTGCCAACTGTGAAGTGCAGCAGTGCAGGAAATACCTAGTAGATAAAAACGTTATAAACACCTTTTATAAATATAAAATAGATAGGCAACTTATAATACATTAATACATTACAATATACGATAGGCAACTATTATACAAAAAATACAAACGGAAAATCGGGATTAAAATTTAAAATACATTTCGACATGTAAGTCAATAAGAACATTTTGTATGCTGTTAATTAGGTCGAACATATTATAAACGATAAATCAACTTAATTAAAAGCATACAAAGTGTTCTTTTATGTAGAAGATTAATTAAAGGAATATGTATAATCTGTGCTATTATTTTCTATCGAATAAAGTAAAGAAATACCGAGGGTGCCATTTAAAAATCAAAAGTTGCAGTTTCCGGTAAAACATACATACCAAATCTCGTTTTTCTATCTGAAAAAATAAAAAAGTTATAGGGGGTGAGCCACTTTTGAGACGCAGCCGGTTTACTTAAAATTTTAATATCTATAGCATATAACAGTTTGATATAAAAATACAGATTGGCCCATCACTAGCCACATAGAATAAATGGGTCACACCTAGGGCCATTGCCTGGAAACTTTTATATGGTGAAATTTTGATAAAATAATTTAGTACTCACTAAAAACACGGTATGTCGCTAGTGGTAAGAAAAATAATTTTTAGAGGTTACTAGTTTATTTGGTTGCCTGTCATATGCATATACAGGGTATTTCCTAATTAATCTAAAAATGAAACTATCCGTTTGAGTAAAAAACGCTTAAGGCGGGCTCTAATAAGTATAATTAATTTTTTTTCTCAAAAAAAAAAAAAAAAAAAAAAAAAAAAAACTCAAAAGATCAATTTTTTTAAAATAAAAAAAAAAAAAAAAAAAAAATATATTTCATTTAAAAAAACGAGTAGTTGTACCATTTATGTTAAGCAAAAATATCGATTTTTTTTAAATTTTAACTACCCTGAGTAGATCAGAAAGGAAGTACTTTAGACCTAATGGCTATATAAAAATTGTTTTAAAACACATGAGGAATCACCACCGACATGTTTTAGGACTAATGGAGAGACACCATGTATATTGTCAACTTGACAATGATTGTTGATAAATCAAATAGAAATACCTTTTTCTGTTGAAAAAGGCCCGATTTTTCAGCAGGAAAAAACATTTTTGGTTTTTATTGAATTTGGGCGTGCGTCTGCAAATACCCGGTATTATATATAATATTTCTATCTATCTAAAATTTTTAAATATGTCATAGTAAGAAATAGTTTTATAATAATGTATACATATATAATTATATATATATATATTATATTATATATATATATATATATATATTATATATAATTTATATATAATATATATATATATATATTATTATAATATATATATTATATATATATATATAATATTATATATAATATTTATAATAATATATATTATATATATATAATATATATATAAATTAATATATATATATATTAATAATATTTAACTGTAAAAATGGTATACTTATAAGCTTATCCAATATTATGATTTACTTTCTACCTTGTTGTCAAAATTTATATTTAGATAAACTGTTAAAAAAGTATTATTCTTATGTTTTATTAATATTACCTCTGATATACTTTAATATATCAGTTTTGTATAACTGTTTAAAACATCCTATTGAGATTCAAATATAAAACATAGAAAAATACTTTACAGTAAGAAAAGGCGAAGGCGCTGTGTTAAACGTAGTCTCCACTAAGAACACGGAGGGGTGCTTCTTTTGACCCAATATTAACTAGTTTTAAGTTCTCATATACTATCTAATAGAAAGCAAAGAGTAGATAAGACAAGAGAGGACAGTTCGCGCGGTACCTTACATGTTTGAGTGGTGGGGAGAGTGACCTCGTCTCGCTTGTCCCTTTAAATTATTGTATTTTTTTCGCCGGGAAATTTGAAATAGACTTTTATTAAAATTTGCCTGTATAGCTTAAAAATTAGTTACTGTGTGTGGTAAAGAGATAAATAAGAAAACGAAAAAAAAGAGTTTTCTAATATTATATAAAATAAATATATAATTAGAAAACATTATTTGTCGGGAATAAAAGATAACAAAAGCCATACTTGTATATCTTTGGTAAACAAGATAAAGGGACCAAGTCGATTTGTAAGAAATGTTTTATTTACGTAGTATTTTTTTTACATATTGGACTTGAACAAGTGTAATATCACAATGTGGAGTTTATGTACAAAAAAATAGAGTTTGTCAATTTTATTTAATAATCCTGGCAATTACAAGCTTCTAACCATGTCTTCCATCTATGGATACATTTAGTTTAATTAAACATAATTTATTATAGTATATTTTATAAAAATACTTATTTTTTTTTATTTTAACAATTTTAAAGAATTGAAATTTTATGTTTGTCGAAGAATGAGACCTATTTTTGCAGTCTTATAAGCACACACATTGCCACAATCTCGTCTTTTCCTGCTACTCGTGTCCTGTCCAGTATTCATATTTAACCATAATTACAAATTAGAACGCAATAAAAACGATACTAAAATTAAACCTTAAAAACTCTCAAAAGGAATAATATACGAAAAATCTGAAAACACACTTTAAAAGGCAAAAATTCAGAAAACAGACTAATTCAGATATTGTTTTGTAAAGCTTGATTGAGCCACCACAAATTAGCACAGCGATTAGCGTCCCTAAAAATCATTAGGTTAGAATAAATACAAATGACGCGTTATCAGATTTTCAGATTTTATCTGTTTATCTTTGAAATCGATCAACTTAGTCAATTCTTTTTCTTTGAATTATCAGTTACATTGCGAAAAGAACCTAAAACCAACCATAAACTAAAAATTTACCATTTTCCGTTTTAACATACGTTACTTATATATCTTCTTATATTATTAATTTTATTTTCAGAAATTCTCGTTTATTTTTTCAAAGAAATAACTTTGGCAACAGACAAAATGGAACTTGACGGGACCTTTAAATTTTAATATATCTGCGTCTCTCTCGCGAAATTCGACTTCTTTGTTCACTGTCGTCTCTTGTCTTATCTACTCTTTGATAGAAGATTATTTTCTTTTATCTATGCCTAGGGTATGGAGTCTAAAAGGAGGAGGCGAATCGAACGCAAAAATTATGGGCCCAGTTTTTGAGATCTAAATGAAGTTCGAAAATCGCCGTTAGGGGCGCAAGTGATCAAAGAGATTGATACATATTTATATACAATACACAGCTTCTTATGGCAAGAATAACTATTTTGTTATTAAAATTATACAGCCAAGTTAATATTTGGGCATATTTTTTACCAGATAGCTTTTTAGAAAACGATGGTTTTTTCTAATTGAGCATGTGCGTGGCTAAAATTTTGAATACAAACCTTAAATTTGAGTTTGGAAAGTTAGTTAGGTTATATTAGATGCCGGTTTACATATATCCTTTTTTCTAAATGTTATTAAAAAATGTATCTTATATGTGGTTCTTCTTAGTGATTCACGACCGAATGAAACAATAAGTGCTAAAATAAATCTTCCTGAACTGTTGTTACAAAAAATATAGAAGTTTCAGCAACAAACGTATCACCAGTTCAACCTTTGATTTTATGTAAACAGTAATTGTTTCTTGATGAGAAAAGCGAATGAAATCGTTTTTGGTGTGATTGTGTTAGTGTTTTATTAATAGTATTGTTGATGCAGTTTAAGGTTCATTATTTTTTCATTTTAAACATTGAAATTGACTGTTTAACATTGCAGTTGTAGTGTTTTTGATGACCATTTAATAAACATTAAAATCTTACGAACTAGTAGTGGTTCTATGGCGATTGACAGATTGAATAACGAAAAATTAAGAGTATAATTTTCAGGAATAACTTAATCATAAATGGAAACTGAAGACGAACGTATACCATTGCACCCTTGATCGGGTGTGTTATCTGTTCCATAACTTTTTATAAGGCCTGAAACTAGAGGTAGAGTATATTTGCTGAAACGTTTCCCTGTTGATTCTAATAGCGTTTTTTCTAGCGTTGAATTGTAAGTTTTAATGCATTAGCTAAGTTGCAATTGTCCTGTTTCGTAAGACAACTTAAATTAAGATATAATTATCATTCTAATGTCACTAATAATTGTAAAGTTTTTTCTATTGATATTCACTTTATAATATAATGTAGAGTTTGTAAATTAAAATATTAATTGAATTAAATAATAGGTACTCAGTTTATTTCAAAAGCACAAAAAAACAAACACAGTTAAAGAAAACAAATATTAAAAAAAAAAAAAAAAAAAAAAAAAATATTTTATTTAGAATAATACATTACAACTTTTGTTTCTATTTACTTAATTCCACTAAATAATAAATAAAATATTTACGAATATATAAATTTAATATACAATTTAAAGTTTTTTTTTTTTTTTTTTTTTTTTTTTTTTGCCAAAAAATAAAACAGGAACATCACAGTATTTATACAGAACACACAAAAATTACAATTTAAAAAAAATGATTCAAAAAAAAAATATTTAATAATTTAAGCTCTTGTGTTATTATAAGTGAAAATTTTATGGTGAGTTTCATTAGAAAACATATTCTAAGATGGTTTTTAAACACAATCAAAAGTATCAACCACAAATACAATAATTTTCAAATTATTCTTATTATCCTCAATGAAAAAAGCGTCTTGCGTACGGCTAGTCAAAAAATCTTAAAATTAATTTTTTTATAATAGATTTACAATTGACATATTGCAACAATACTGTCAATTAGTAATACGATAATTTTACTTTATGAAATTACTACATCTAGAAGCCGATTTTTAAAAAAATTGTAAAAATTTTTTTTATTTTCCTTATATTTTTAAAATTCGATAAAATTTTCATAAAATCGACAGCCACACGTCTTTAGTAGATTCCTAGGGACAGATGTTTAAAAAGGCTTTTTACAGAAAATTTCGCTCCCTCGCAAGGGGCGAAAAGTTTTCCTCTTTCTTTATTATAATGAGAAATAT